AAGATGTTTAGGATTGTCTGCTCACTTGACAATGCTCTTGGCAGTTTTGTACATTTAACACTTTATACCTCCAGTTTGTGCTCAGCTGCCTCTCTCGTTTTCTTCAACAGGAACCCATCTTCTGAAGCAGCTGCCCGTTCTCTTACGCCCATCTTGGGCTATCGCTCTGTCTTGAAGCTATGGGTCTTTTTCTGTTTGGATGCGTTGCATTGGCTCTTTTCTGTTCTGCCATTGTAAACGCAGCGAGCATTTACTGTAAAGGGATACATCACAATGTTAACAGGACTGTGCAGTTTAAGGTTCCCTTGAATTGTACAATGCTTTCAACCTATCATGATGCTCATTCTTGTTCATTGGTGTCTCTTAAGAGATTGTGAACACACTGATGTATGAAACTGGCAAACCCAAATCATTTTTAATGATTGCTTTGCCATTATATTGTATATTTAGTCAAATGTTTTTGTTAACAACATGCAACCAATAACAGAAGTAAAACATTTAATTCATCATGTGTATTTGTACATTTGTTAATAGTAAATGGTAGTGGGTTTATTTAGGTTTGGGTTTTTTTGTGCATTGACCTAGATTTAGGCTGTTTCTCCTAAAATAAAGGAAATGCTACACAAAATGTAGAAAAATTAAAACCGAAATAAAGAATAGCACAGTCCTATAACAGACACAGCTCAAGTTTTAATATCGCTTGTGATAGGTCTCTTTGAAGCTTGAATAGACCCAAAATGATGGTCAGTTTCTGGCATCCAGGAAAGATGCATTTGCAGGACATTGAAGGAATACTGTAGCTCGCTGTAGCTAGTAACCACTACTCTTGTATAAACTCGCAAACACAGGAGAACCACCGATGCTAAGGCACATTTTTATAGCGTTATAGTGTTAGGGATAGTATGCGAAGCGTGGCGCCAGTGCATCAAGCCATAAAAACTGGGTTTAGGATTTTTTTACTGGGTCCACAGTTTACACAGTGTACAACATGTACAGTGTGTTTACAGAGAAATCTCTGAATTGCCTTTACACAGACCAAACTAAATCTGACTAGCTAATTCCCTAAATTAGAGTTTGCACGTGTAATGATGCAATGTGTATGTTACTCCACAATTAATTCACATAATGTTCCCTATGTAAACCTAAAGAGAAAATGTCACACTTTTATTTCACCAGTTTCCCAGCAGCTGTTCTTCATACAGTATTGCCATAATCCCAGAGATGTCGGCCTGAAAGCGTTGACCTATAGTGAAAACAACATTTCCAGCAAATTGCAGGGAAGAAAAGAGTGGAGACAGAGAACAGACAGGAGAACATTTTAACTGAATCGCAGGTGTCACCCCAGGAAAAAAACATGTTATTTTGTGGAAATGATACCCATTTGTATTTCATCAGAGTGGAACTGTCTGTGCAAACAGCGTCCTGTTGTCATGAACACATTTTAACGCATACACACTTCTTCTTCTCCACTGCTGCTGTCATGTTGTGTGCACTCAAACAACAGGCCACACACCCTGACTAATTTATCTTTGCACTTTCAACTAACTAATACAAAAATGCAACAACAAATTGGGAAAGCCCATTTGACACCGCATTAAATCATGTATCGATAGAAGTATCGAAGTATCGATATCAGAGATTCTGGCCTTGTATTACTTGGTATCTATAATAATATACGTTAACTATATAATCTATAGCAAAATTTTAAAAAATGTCTGTCACATTGCTTCCTTATCCAGTTAGCACCTCTTACAGTAATTTATTTGAAGAGGCATCAAGGAATAGTGGCTGTATCATAAACTTATCACATAATTAATACCCGAATACTCACAAGATAGTGAGCAGGACGGTTTGTTAGGCGGAACCAAAGGAATACAGTCAGAGTTCAGGCCGGACGGATTTGAAAAACGTACCCGTACCCGAGCTCCATGACTTATGAAAGAACAGTTGATGAATATATGTAAAGTTATGTAGTAAAAATAGAAAACTTAATGTCTAAATACATGTTCTCAATAGGTCCGTTTTACAGTAGGTGGAGCACAGTTAGCGTTAAAGCTCCGACCCCTCTGTGGTGTCTGTGGCCGTGTAGCTGCCACTCTGGTCCCGATGCTGTTTTACAGCTGAACGAGCCAAGAGGAGCCCAGAATAAACAGGTAAAGAAATACAGGAGAATCTGGATAATATACAGCTAAGATATGCAAACTATATGTTTTTTTGTTCTTGTTCAATTTTCAGATGTACAAACGTTGCAATGCATGGTAGAAATATGTCAATATAGTGGACCATTTTTTAATTTTGAACACTATATGCTATCATTACAGAAGATCTCTGAGTGTGGCCCTACTGTTAATGGTGTGGCCCTTCAAAACACAATCAAATATTTCTTCATCCAAAACACTGTAGTACACTGGGGGGACTTACTTGGTCAGTTATTACACACAGTACAATTTCCCATTGCATAGATACTGTGTGAGAAACTAAGTATTCCAAATTATGTTATCAATAATATTGTGGCTGCACAATTAATCAAAATATTATTGAAATCGCAAATATGCAATATCCGTAGAAGCTGCACTATTTTGATAAAGGTAAAATGTGAGATAAAGCTGCATTATATAAGCACTGTGGTGCTGCAGAGATGCCCTGGCCTACAAAACTGGTTGCCCAGATGAAGTTAATTTGTTTGTTTGGAACCCAGACCTTATCAGATGTGACAACATGATTTGTTTAGCATTTCAGTGAAAATCCATCATCCCCACTAATAGCGAATCATATTGGAGTCCCAATATCTATCAAAATAATAGCGACATGATTTTTTGTTTACCATTTTGTGCAGCCCTGAATCATCAGCTTCCAGACCAACAAAGTTAAAATCATCTTTTAACTTGTGTTTGCTGCAGACAGCAACTAGAAATGGCACAAATAACAAAAGGCACTGGCCGCATAAGATCAATAGAAATACTGTATTATATGAAAACCACGACTATTTAATATGGCATGGTTTATGGATCTATCATGTACAGTGAGATTTTAGCCATGTAAGGTCTGCAACCCAATATGCCTGCAGTAATCCCTAACAGGATGCATTTTACACTCAGTATCCAGCAGGGGTAGTGATTGTACAAGACAATACACAGCTTTTTTTTTAAGCCAGTTCCAGGAACATGAAGGGAAAATCCACCTTAAACTCTAAGGTATATATTACTCTTCTAGTGGTTTTACTCAGTGAACTATTAACCCAAAAATTTGAATTTCAAGACTTGAATTGTTATTGACTAATAACTATACTTTTTGATTTTGGTCAATCTTTACTTGATATTTACTCTTAATACTGCATCGATTTAGGTCCAAAAGATTTTAACATGAAAACAACACACAGCTTTGAATCAGCAAATGTCCCCATAAAATTAACTGAGGGGCTGTCAGAGTTTACTTTATGAATGCTGTCTTATTTCATGCTTCTCTAGGATTTATCTCTAGACAGCATTTTCACTACAGTCTGTTTGTAACAGGTAACAAAATTGCACAAAAAGAAAAGATCTTCGTGTCAGCCAGTACTGGACCACTTTGACCAGCAGTACAGTCAGGAACTTGGAGACTTGTGGCCATCTGCAAGGTAAATTGTGTCTGAAATAGTTATCGCAGCCTACACACAGACAGTGTTTGTACCCTTCCTTAATTGGGATTGCTTTTCTCTTGCAGGGCAGTGCTCCTGGACCGTCACTCTTGGCAGTATGGGGTCATGCTCAACCGCTTCAGCACTGTGACAGACATCACACAGACCCTCCAATCCCAGGGTTTTTCCTTATTGCTGCCAAAAACAAATGTCTCCACGTTGCTTTGTGATGGCACCTCAACATTTTCAAATTCTAAACACCAAGCAACAAAGGACTCACTGTTGCCACCTCAATACACCTCAAAGTGCTCCCCTAATGACTCCCTCGTCCAACCTGAAAGCCCCTCTCATGCACTCGGTCGGGACCTTCAATCAGAGGCACTCAGTTTGGCCTGTCCTTCATTACAATGTTACATCCACCCATATCCACTGCGGTTTCCCTCTCAGGCTCACAGGCCTGGCCAGCTGAAGCAGTATTACCTTCTGAATGCTGCCTCCCTGCTTCCAGTGCTGGCTTTACAAGTCAGAGATGGGGAGAAGGTTTTGGATCTTTGCTCTGCTCCTGGGGGCAAAGCCATAGCCATAATTCAGTGTGCCACCCCAGGTAAACAAGTACTTTAAATGGAATTTGCAAACTTTTTTGGATTTTTGTCATGCAAAGAGTAAAAGATTGCGTTTAAGGTGTATACACTGCTTAATGTATACATCAAGTTATAACTTAAAATAAAATGTTAAATATTGGCATTTTATAATGCAAACTTTTCACTTTAAATAATTCATAATGTTTACCTCTAAACATTGTCATATGTCCCTGTATCATTTTGCCCAATTTACTATTAATAAATATGAATGCTTATTCTTAATTAGATTGAAATGACCCCACATTATAACTTAGTAAAGGGATGTTGACAGAACACCAATTTACCTTTTCTAGGATAGCTTTTCACAAAAGTATTTTATTGAAAATGTGTTTTTAAATATTAAAAGTGTTCTTTTGTTGCACTTGAATCCAAGGAATATTTATGTCTGCTGTGAATAGCCTGTTTGCACTGAATACTGGTAATAACTAACTCTGCCCTTTGTTGTGTTCCAGCACTTATCTGCTGTAATGAACCAGACCCTCACAGACGGGACTGGCTGGCCAAAACTCTGGAGTCTTTTGTGCCTCACTCACTAAACAGCAGAGTGATTGTGTCTGCACAGGATGGACGGTCTTTTGGGCAAAGAGAAGCAGGGACATATGACAAGGTGGGGAGAGTCATGTTTTTGGCAGCATGTGATTAAATGTTTCTGCAGTGTCCAACCAATTCAGGTGTCGCACTTCTTTTTCAAGGCCGTGGTTTAAAACGAATGAGAACAGCGAGCCTTTGAACAAAAGCTAATAAGCCCAGCGGAAAAGAAGAAAACCGTTTATTCAAAACAGGAGAAAAGAAGAGGCAGACAAATGGCTGGAAGGAATCAAAGTGACTGATAATGGAGCAAAATATTGAAAAAGAAAGGGAGAGAAGCATGGAATGAAAAGGTTGAGAGTAAGACAGTGTGAACAATGACTGAAAGGCAATAGAGTGGTGCAAACAGACTGCACAGTTTCAAGCCGTATTGTGGTAATGATATAGCTTTGTAAAATTTTATCGAGGACTGAGGTCATCAGTCACCATAATTTGTCTCTTATCTCCTGGTGTGGGGAAAATATAACATGTACTCTTTTCATCTGCTTTTAGTTTCATTAGGCTCTTTTAATTTTCTTACCTTTTCTTCTTTCACCCTTGCCATCTCTCACTGCTATTACACTCTTGAACTCTCTGACTCAGACTCTGAGCTGCTCACATTTCTTTTCTCTGTTGCAGGTTTTAGTCGATGCTCCATGCTCTAATGACAGGAGCTGGTTGTATTCTTGCAGCGGCCAGCAGGGGGAACAGAGACTACAGGAAAGAGCCAAGCTGCCTAGGCTCCAGGCTCAACTGCTTAGGTAAGCTCTATCCCCAAGCGTAAATAAATGCCAGCAATGTGTCCAAACATTGTAATTAAGCAGATGAGGAATTATAAAATATTTGCCTGTGTTATAAGTCATACACAAAATAACAACAGCAAAACACAAGAAAAATTTAAATAGTAAATGAAAATGTACATAAAATTAATCACAATTACAAACAGTGCTATAAAGTGGAATTACATTAGTTTGACTGGCACAGTTTATTTAGTATAAATGATTGAAAAAAGTCAATCAGCTCTTTACCATGTGAAGCAACAGAAAATAACCAAATGAGTTCTATGGAGACTGTCATATATGGTCAAATTGCAAAAATAGCAAATTATTTAGTGTGTTGAGGGAGGAGAAACTCAACATGTAAATGGGAGACCTAGAGTATATACGAGGTGACAATTACTTAATACAACTTAATATTATGCAGCTTTGCAGCAGTGTTTGAAATGGTCATTTAGTCCTTTGTCACAAGGGCCAATATTTGTCTTCTCCATGCAGGTCTGCACTGTCTGCGGTGCGTCCAGGGGGTGTCGTGGTCTATTCCACTTGCACACTGTCCAGCTCTGAGAACTACGCCGTGGTTGAAACCGTGCTGAATGACTGTCCTGAGGCCGAACCCGAAGACCTGTGGGAGGAAATTGCCATTCCTTTATCAAAATACTTTGCATTTAGTCCTGCTCACCCTGGTCATGGACAGACACTTCACAAGCCATCCCCGCAGCCACAGGATGGCAATGTGTCCTCTTATCACCACAGACTCGGCATTTTAGTGGTTCCTCAGCCCGGCAAGACCTGGGGACCCATGTTTCTGTCTCGGATTAGAAGGAGGAAATAGTGTGTATCCTCCTGTGCTGAAAAGATATGTGGAAACAAATGGCTAAATATACACATTTCCTTGGTATGTTGTTTGTTACCTGTGGGTTTTATAAGATGCACAGGATCCCATGGAATTGGCTTATAACCCACTCACACAAACAAACTTGCTAATTCACCTTTAGCGCACTGCAGACAGTGCCTATTTCCACCACATGCAGGCGAAGATACAACATCACTCACATCATTCTTACTAACCTTCAGTGATCTGAGACAGACTTGTATTTAAAGCAGCTATAATTTATATATTTATAATAAATATGAATAAAATGACATGTGTGAAAGGAGTTGCTCATAGTGATGAACTTGCATATAATTATCACCAGAATCTGCAGGTCCCCGGGACTTTTACGGAGCCTTATGAAGTTTAATCTCATTGTTTATCTGTTGTATCTGATCTTTTATATATCTTTTATATATATATATAGTTTTATATATTTATATTTTGTTCTTAATAGATGTTGCCTTTGTATAATATATGTTGTTTGTATACCTGGAGTCTTATAACAAAAATAATTTCCCCCTGGGATTATTAAAGTATTTCTGATTCTGATTTATCTGTCCTGCCCTCAACTTTACTGTTTTGGCTCACTCTCGCTGCTCTCATAGCGTCTATTTCAACAACAGCGGGCAGCTCTTTTTAGTGAAAACGCTCTAAGTGAATCATTTAGCAGCTGAAGAGCCAGATATTTTCCACACAAGTTGGTGGTGACCAAAACAGAGCATAAACTTTTTTCCACTGCCCCCAAGTGGACCAAAGAAAATAAATAATCAATAATAATCAGGTTTAATTGTTTTTTTAAGCCTCTGCAACCAACCCCCTTTTTATTTATTGTTATTATTATGTGTTATTGGCATCTATAGAAACTACTGCTTCACATTAATAACACTGTGTCCACGTTGTATAATAAAATTGGTAATATATGGTATTATCAATTTTATTGAAATATACAATGTAACATAAAAATAACATTCACAGTTAATTCTGGTGTTAGGAGTGAGTGCTTATCTTGAGGGTTTTATTTAAGTTAGAGTGAGCTTTAGTTTCTAAATACTGAATGAGAGGACATTACAAGACGTAGAGCATCTCCATCGTCCAAGCCTGAAGACAGTAAATCAGGTTGCTCTTATTAAAGTTTGATTATCTCTTGACTTAAACGATCACTGAATTTTCTATCTTAACACCCTGCCTGATATGTTTATTGGCCTGTGTTTGTTTTTAAATATCTAAGTGCCATAATATTGAAAATGTTTTCAGGCATACTGTATGAGACGTTAGTTTAATAACTGTAAAGAACTTCATTCCTGTCATTCCCTCTCTGCATTTACCTACTCTAAATTAAGGTGTGCTGTAAGTCTCACTAGAAGTAATCTTACATCTGTCATCTCACCTCCCTTCTGTATGATTGAGAAGGCAGTATCATCTCTTATAGTGGCTCATTACCTGGCTAGACTGTTCTTGTGTCACGCTTGAGTGAAAAGTAGACTATTTCATGGCAGTCATCAGGCTATGATTGCTCAGACCGGAAGCCAAAGGTGTTTTGAAAGTAATTGTAGACAATAACATTCAAGAATTCATATATTTTTACCTTTTGAACATAACAGACCGACAAAGTACGCTGTTGCAAAGGCAGTTATGTGTGGAAACCGTTATTTCTTCCTTCCAAATATATACGGCTGGTGGTTATGAGCGAGCCTGAGACACTGTCAAGGGCATGATTGCTGAAATAGGAAAGCGCCTCGCACCGGTTTCATCCAACTCCTCTGCGTGGCGATAGACACAAGCATTATTGGGTGCATTTATATGGCTATTTTTATTGGCTGTCCTACTTTCGCTGCACTTCTACGTGTCTTTGAAAAGTAGCTCCAGTCTGTGATACGAGTGCATCATTACACCACGACGCAACTCAAAAGTAACAAGATGTGGAGAGGAAGTGGGGCTTCATTGGGGTTAACCATGTTGCTGACCTTTGTGTGAACTCTGGTTTGTTGATGTTCCCCATATTGCAGTGTTTCCTCAAGGGGAGAATCTCTAAGCAGCTTTTCCTCCACTTCAAAGGGAGAGAATGTAGGCCTGCTTTGCATAATCAGGTGGGGAACAGCTTTTTGCCAGAGAGGCAGGAATTAATTTGTGCCACCGCCAGATGTAATCATTAAAACTCTAGTCATTGACAATAAAGGGGGAGGAGGAGGGGGGAATAGAGGAGAAATTGTAAAACAGTAGATAGAATAAGAAAGAGATATGGAGCAAAGTATGTTTCTGAATGCCAGAGGACACTAGGTAAGCAGGCTAATCTTGTCTGAGCTCTGTTAAGCCAGAATGACATATTTTTCAGTCTGGATGCATTCAGCTCTGTCACTCTGTGTTTGGACATGTTGGCATGAGGTAAATCCTGACTTCTCTTACCCCTTTACATGTACTACATTACTATTTCAGTGGTGTACAAAGGGATGAAAATATATGAGAAATTATTAGAAATTTAGAAAAACCACAGTTAGCTATACATGTCATGTCAGATTTAGTGGCAACTAGCAGTGTAGCTGATCTTCACTTCACCCTCCCCTACCGATCACGAAGGAGAAACTACGGTGACTGCAAAACACACGTATGCCCCTATCTAGAGTCAGTGTGTTGGTGGACTACATGAAAGGCGACCCTCGACATCTGTAGGGCTAAAAACACGTATATTCTTATATTCAGGTGATTATACACAAATTAAAACCTCTTATATTCAATTTCTGCCAATATATCCTTCTTAATGTTACACCTTTGAATGTCACTCACAGCTTGTAAATGTACTGTATGGTTCAGTCTCTCTGCTCTCATTAACCCTGCTCTGAAACCCACTGTACTTAGACAGATGAAGTAACCCAGTAACTGGTGAAGACTTCTTAGTGTTTGTGGGTTAAATTTTAGGTAAAACATGTAGCGGAATTATTATTTGTGCTGCAATAATCCAGACAATAATCTGAAAATAATCGCAATGTCAAACTGATATTTTTCCACTTGTGAAAAATGTTTGACACTGAATGTGCCAGACAGGTAACAAGTGGGTCTATAGATTTAGTACCATTTGGGGTATCCATCATTCATTTCAAACGTCCTCATTTGTCAATATTCCATCAGTGGAAGTGAGTAACCAGGATTGCTGCACTTGATTGATTGTTACACAACTAATCTCTGAGGGGGAAAAAGTCTGCAAAGAATGAATCTTTATAGAGGTCAAGTCAAACTGTTGGACACAAAAACTTGATTTTTGTTAATTAGGCTACAGATATTTACCATAATAAGCATGTAGTGTAATAAAAAAACATGGACAAGCACACACTCTCATGAACAAGCCTGCCAAGAAAATCTGAAGCTGGCACTCTTGAATCCCTAAGAGAGAGAAACACATTATGGACTAAGACTAGGCCTACTGACGACCATACACCTGGGATGCAATCATTTAAAAAAAAGCTACCCAAGTCATCATTTTGCTTCTGGCCAGATATTAGATGAACTAGCAACAAATCTCAAACCGCCACCTGTGAGACTTCAGAGACGGTACAACTTAATTGTGAGCTTTGGTGTCATGAAACACATGAAAAATAAGCTTTATGTGAGGATTGACTGGATACAGAAAGAAAGATTCCTCTCATGTGTTTTATGGCCTGGGGAGACATCAGGTACCATTAATGTCAGTGCAGACAGACAACGCCAGAGGAAAATTAATGGGGACAGGAGTGAAAGTGAGAGTGTAACTGAAACAACTTCAAGAAAAAGGAATGGAACACAGACATTTCCATCCTATCATCTGTTTGTCTGCCATACACAGACTCCAACTACAAAAGAAACCAGAGAATACAGAGAAGTAAAGTTGGGTTTTGTTTTGTTTTTTGTTGTTGTTCAGAGACTTAGTAGATAGGGCAGTGATCTAGGTCTATTTCAGAGGATCGTATACTGGAGTGACAGGTGTCTTGGAGGGCAGCAGCAACTTGGATAAAACTGCATATCCAAGTTTCTTCAAAACTTGTCAACAGTTTTAATCTAAAATCAACTACACCAAGAAGAGCTGTATTGTTGTTTCTCCCGTGGACCTCTGTAAGCCTCAGCAGCAGCAGGGAAGGAGATATCCATAACTGCTGCACGAGAAGACAAAGCACAGGCTTAACAGACTGAAGGCAGGACAGATTACCCCAGCCTGGACGTTCATTCATCCTTTGAGGAAAAGACAGAATTGATCGGGAGATATAAAACTAAAGCCTTGGACAGTCTTGCAGCAAAATTGGATTTGAGAGAAAACTACCAGGTCTTTTCAGTTTTAAGGATCAAGTCATCATTTTTCCACAAATTAAATGCAAATTGGAACAGCAGATCAGTAAAACTGGACATGAATTATGCCAATTTAAGATGTGATTTTATAATAGTGACTGCTTCAAAGACTAGTGTGCAGGATTTAGCAGCATAGTGTTGTAGTTGTAGATTGCAACTCACTCGTTTTATTTCACCCCCATCTTCCAAACACAAAGGAGAAATACAGTGGGGCACGCACAAAAAACCTTGAATGGCCCTATCTAGAGCCAGTGCTTCTGGTTACTGTAGAAACATGGAAGTTCAACATGAAGGCGTCCTTGGAAGGCAACCTGCAGCGTCTGTAGATATAAAAGGCTCATTCTAAGGTAACAAAAACATAACAATTCTTATTATCAAGTGATTATATACTAATAAAAATGTATTTATTTATTTATATTATTTTTACCTTCCTAAATGTTACACACTGGATCTTTAAACAGTAACTCTGTATTTTTAGGGGGGAAGTCTATTTATGCTGCCTTTCCTATAGAATAAAATCAATAATATATATTCTCATTTATTAAACAAGAAAAATGACACATACGCTTATTCAATCTTCATGACCATGGCCTGGTGAGGATCCTTCTGAAAGACAAGGACCAGTGACAGACCTGCAGAGCTGCACACTTGGACTTCAATCAGACTTGATTGAAACTTTGACTGCTGTAATATTTGATTCCATGTCAGGATGTAACCTGAGGCTTGAAAGCCAAAATATTCCAGTCTCAAGTTTTGACCTTGTCCAGGACAATAACAAATAAATAAGACATTGTCAGACAGTCCTTGTATAGCCACATCCCATGCATTTTTGTACATATGTATATGTATTAAAATGACTTGGTCCCAATGTAAAAAGACATTATGAACACAGATTTGAAAGCAAAATGTTTAAATATCATGTTGTTTTAATTTAGAAGACTTTGATAATTAGTCTTGAAAAAAAATTAATTGAGGCTTGACACTGACTTACCCCAAATAGCTCCACCAAACTAATGCAGTTTTATTTGAGATGATTTTCTGTTTTAATTGGAAGTGCTATATTTCAAGTGTGCCATTTCCTTGCAATAGGAATTATTATAAATACAAGATTCTGGTTCTTAACATTTGATAATTGACCCCTCTCTGTGCCCAGACCACTGC